CCCTCATTTGGCGATGCTACGTCATCCTCGAAGATCCTCTATCTTAAGACGGCCCCTGGCCTTGGGCATCTTGGAGATCAACGCTTTCACCGCGTCGATGAAGCCCAGATCCAGCATCCTGTCCGCCTCGCACATGCGCCGAGCGCGGACGCGCGGACGGCGGACGCGCGGACGGGCTTTGTTTCTCTTCCCTTCTTCTTGCTTTTTGCAAGAAGGCCTTGGGCCTTCTCTCTGCCAAGGTCGAGATCAGCTTCACACAAGGAACAGAACCAGGAGGCCCCCCCCCTTAGAAGGAGGGCGCTTCCAGAACTTCGCCAAAGGTGTGCCAGATTTTGCCGCCAGGGCCACGGCCGAGTGGCCCGCTGCTGGGCTCCGACTTCCGTCGCTCCTCGCGCTCCTTTGAGGTGCCGGGGCCCAAACCGAGAGCGGCGGCGCTCCGCGTCGCGGCCGTGCAAGCGCCGGCGCCCAAGCCGGTGCCGCTGGCGTTGCCGGCGCTGAGGCTGAGGCTCAGGGCGCTGCTGGTGCTCACACGACTGCTCTCGCTGCGAGGCGAGATCGAGGCCGTGGCCCTCACCGAAGCATGCGATTGGGATCGCTGCATCTCAGATTCTGCTGACACAGTTCCAAAGCTTGGGGTTCTCTTGCGTCTGATTTGCAGGCCGCGTCCGGGCAATGAAGGTGCCTCCATTGGGAAGCAACGTCCCTTGTGAACCCAGTTGGTGGGGTTCCAGCTTGGCTTCCCCTTTCTACTTGTGTCGTAGAGCTCACTGACGGCTCCGTCTGGTGGCCAGGTGCGCTCGGGATTGCTCACTCGCTCTTTGTCCCAGGCGTTGAAATCCTTCTGGGGCAAATACCCTGCAAGGCCAAAGCTGGAGTCCCTGTGCGCCCAAGTGACGGGGCTCCAGGCCTTGAGGCGCTCCGAGCGCTCCTGCCGAGGCCGAGACTGCGACCCGGATCCAAGGAGGCAGACGCAAGGATCCAGCTCTCGCCCGATCGTGGTGATACGCTTCCATTCCTTAGTGAGCGGGAGCCGGGAGCTGCAGAGGCGACGACTTAAAAGGACCTATATAGCCTACACAGGGACCTGCGAATGGCCAAGCCAAAAGCGACTCCATCCTGCTACTCCGTACTCCGTGCAGCTGCGAGATCCGGTCCGGACCGGCGAAGGCTTTGCGTCGTGGGTGCAGCGGGTGCCGGCACAGCACGCGGTGGCGGCGTGACGGGAGCGTTCCTGGTGTCGGAGATGTGCTTCAAGATCTCCTCACACGCAGTGTACTCTCAGCATATCTCACCGACAGACTGCTGGCGCCCAACCTCAAACGACTGCTGCAGATCTTCGGAGCCACCTGCACAGACAAGATTGCAAGCATGGCAACTGTGGCTTCTGCCAAAGTGTGAGCCCTCCAAAACAAGAAGCTCGAAGATCCTATTCCGAATGCCAGGCTAGCCTAAGGCTTGCTCGCCTGTTCCCAGTCAGCCCACAAAGAAACTCTACAAAGCGATCTTGTTCGGAATGCCTTGTTCTCGAGGGTTGGGAGGTTACACGCTGTACGGGGCCAGCGACTGGCAAGAGCATTGCTGGGAAGCGTACAAGGTCGAATCGAGCTGGAGCAAAGCGACAGCAAAGCCAGCAGCTAAATTCACGCTTGCGCGGCACCTTGCTGCGGCGCCTTGCGCGTTGCGCGGGCGGTGGGGGGGACCTGCCCCAGCCGCCTTCCTCTGCCAGGGACCGTCAGTGGCCAGGCCAGGTCTGCTGACCTCTTCGCCCATCTTCGCCCAACATCTCCCCTCACATCCCACCGACTTTCTCTGCAGGCCCCCCGCTGCAAGCATGACTTCACATCTTGGGGCCTGGACGTTGCAACATGTCCGCCATGTCCGCGCGCTGCCCTGCCGCGCTGCCGCGCCGTGCCGCTGCAGACGAGTACTCCACATCTGGTCCCTCTCAGGCTCTTCTCTGGCCTTGCGATGAAGGACACTGGCCCCCAGAGGTTTCGGTGAGGATAGCCGCCGAAACTTCGACTCGATTCGACTCGACGGCTGGCAGGGCCAGCGGAACCTCGGCGCGATTGTGAAGTTGGACGTTGAATTCATGGTCCGACACCTCCTTCGGACAAGACGTCGCCCGGGGCGTGGCACGGCGTGGCATGAGTAAACCAAGTGGACCCGGATCTGTGGGGCATTCTGCTCCCTCCTGTCGTGGACCGGCGCTTGTTTTGGCTCCGTGGCCGATTTGTGTGCCTTTGGGTCTCGGTGCTACATATCGAAAGCTATCGTCCTATCAGTTTGCCCAAACCCAAACCGCCCCTGCATCTCATCGTCTGGTGAGCACTGCTGCAACCGAAGATGCGAACAACTAAGACTCGGCCGTCACGGTTCACGACGTACACGAAGGACACGGTTCGGCATCATTGTGAAGACCAGAGTTGGGACGATGTTCGGAGTTCCGCAGTACACGACACGCACATCGTATATGACAGAATGACTCTCACGAATCGCTGCACCACAAAGGGTTTGTTTATGAACTATCGAGGGCATTCAGAATGAAACAGTGGCTACTCACCGTCTAAGACAGTGGGTTCGACAGGTGATCTATTCGGGATGAGAAGCACCTGA